AAAAAAAAAAAAAAGACTAACCACTGGTAAATAACAAAATTTCATCCAAGCCTATTAAAATTAATTAGTTTTAGTACAAAAATTCATGAATCCAGCAGCATCCTATCTAGCAAACTGAAAGATCCCAAGAACCACAGAAAGGGAAAGGCTTTAAAGCCAGGATAAGAAAATCCTGAGTGAAAACAGGGATTACTTGTAATGTAAGTGACCTGATATGGGGGGACGATTGGGGACTACTAGGCAAATAAACTTATTAGTGCTTACCAAGCTATACCAGACTGACCAGTAAAGATTATATTCCTGGAGAAGCTTAAAACTGGCTAGTTTAAGTAATAAATCTTGATTTAGTGGCATGGACTAAGCCCACACCATCACATCTTGAGCCTGTGGCTTCTTTTAACAATTTCCCTTGATCAAATTCTCAAGATAACTGAGAGATATAATCAAAGTTGAAGGCATCAGTGCCACTTTCTGATTAGCATCTTGTAGTTCTCACAGCTTTTGTTGTCTTTGTGGGGTATCCATAAATCACGACATTTTTGCTTAATTCCCATGAAACACATAGTTTACAATTTCAGGTTGGTTCACGATCCTTGTGTCAGCTAATCTCTTTGTACCTTCTCTGACTTTCCTGTCTTAGAGGGAGGGAGAATATTTGCTGGATTTGGATCATTAGTGGGTATGAACATGCAGTTAATGCTTTTGAGAAAAATACAATGCACCTGTGAAATTTAAAAGTATATATATTTATTTATCCATATAAGAATGAGGTCTAGGACAGAGGTGCAGGGAGTGAGACCAGGTGCAGAAGATGAACCAGGTTTAGGTCAAAGGTGCAAGGGTTGAGAGGATTCACCAGAGACAGAGTGGAGAGCAGAACAGGCAGATAACTGAAATACACTGCTGAGGGGAGCAGCGGGTGAAACAGGAGAGGTCTGCTGCACCACATGGGTCAGCTCCCTGGCGGGGGATCCAACTCATACCCCACAATGGTTGGAGATAGTGTGACTGTGCTAAGATTTAATCCCTAGTGCCACCAGGGAGGACCTGAGATTATTATGGTTATAAATAAGCAGAATTATTTCCCAAGGTCTGTAGTGTACTTCAGAGCCACCGGCCCCAACAAGTCCATCAAATCAAATACGTTAAAGAAAGAAACCACTGATGGAGTCACTTTTTAAAGTGAAATGAGTTGCTCAGTAATCTTTTGTGACTGAGTTTCAACTTCTTTAGAAGTTTTAATCCAGGTGCAGCAGATGGTGTTGACTAGAGCATAGATTCCTCCTAGCTCAGCAAAAAAGATCATTGAAGTCTATTTTATCATTAATAACAACTTTGTTAGATAACTATTACCTTTGCAATGAATTTTTACAGTATCTGCAAATTAAAGATTGGGTTCTGATCATATTTTCATTTATATTTACTCCTAACCAGGGAAAGGTTGCCAAAGGAAGTGAGTCATGGGTCATGAGAGTCATCTGGTAGGTCCTTCCTAACTCTGTAATGTAGGGGAGTCAATCAACAAGGTTTCTTTGTGGAAGTTAAGGAGGCATTGCCTGAGTATGTACCAGCTATTTAGCCATTTCCAGATCCAAGAATGATCTGTGATCAGTAGGATCCTTTGGATTGGGATCTGGGAATCTGTTCTGACATGTTAATGACAGACTTTAGAATAAGACATGAAAGGCCCAGCAGCTGATATGACATACCAGGGTTCAGCTAGAAGCTGTATATGCATAGACATTGCTCTGTAGGTGACAATTTCAGGTGGACTGAATTTATGTTTCCAGAAGGGGCACTGAAAACGGCATGAACAGAAGCCAAGGGAGTAGTAATTTCAGGAACTTTATAGAGATATTAAAACTGAGGATCCCATTAATTTGCTCAACCTTGCCTAATTATTGAGTGTGTGGGAGACAGTGATAATTTGTGATGGGCTCTTGCTAGTGGTACCATGGGTTAAAGTGCAGCACTAGGAAGCTAGCCGCAGAGGTTTCAGCACGAATTTGATGGGCCAGGGAGCTGACCCACATGGCGCAGCAGACCTCTCCAGTCTCATCCAATGCTCCCTTCAGCAGTGTTTCCACTGATCTGCCTGTTCTGCTCCCCACTCTGTCTCTGGTGAACCCTCTCACTGCCCCTGCACCTGTGGCTGTATCTCAGTTCTGTATTCTTTTTTTTTTTTTTTTTTTAAAGAAGTTTGTGAGATTTTGTTAAGGTTTTTATGATTTGCCCACTGATGGGTGCTGCCATCAGTGCAAACTGTCAAAGATAC